GGATCGGGCTCAGGGGCTCAGGCCAGTTCGGGAAGGGAATCAGGCTCGGATAGAGAGGGTTCGGGGTCCGCTGGTGGAAAAGGATCGGATTCAGGCTCTGGCGGGGGAGGGGGATCAGGCTCGGATGGAGAGGGTTCGGGTTCCGCTGGTGGAACAGGATCGGATTCAGGCTCTGGCGGGGAAGGGGGATCAGGCTCGGATGGAGAGGGTTCAGGTTCAACTTGAAGTACGTGTATTGCCAAATGTGGGACAGGGGTTTATGTGGACAGTATTCATACGTGGTAACCGCCAGGCTGTTAGGTAGGGACTGACAGATACTAGCTGTATTGACCTGAATTTTCGACTTGAGGTTATTTTACACGTTGCATGTATCTACTCTGGCCGAGAACGAGGACTCACTCTGATATGACCCATTCATTACCTCCCGTCGTGCTAATCGAAATCCAAGTTCAAGAGGATGCATCTCGCAGTTCCACCAAATGATTATTGTCAATTGGGTTGCGCAGCTAATTCAGGTTGAAATATGACTTGCCACCTATCTACCTCATGATCAGAATGATTCCCAGCATTCAAATACACAAGAGTGCTGACAATTTTTTGCTCCACTTCTTCTTCTTCTGACTTACAAAACAGTACTAGTGTTCTCCACGATCAGGCTTGATAATCGGGCCAGGAGGAGCAGGAGTAGAAGTGGGATTCAAGAGGATGCACAAAAGGTTTCATTTGGTCCGCGGCCCCATTCACGCTCAGTCAAATAATTAATTATTATAATTTCATCAATCCAACCAATAACTAACTCGGCTGCGGTGCGCAGCGTTCACCCGCTTACGATATTTCTCGCGCGTGCTTGTTGTAGTGGGCGGACTGGGTTCGATTCCCGGCTTCCGAATGCCCTTTGAGTTCCTTATCTGTTTTTCTTTTCTTTTCTTCGCTTTTTGACTGTTGAACATGAAGAACAGTCTTCCTCACGATCTGTCTGCCTCATCGTGTCAATGGATATGCAGTTGGCTAAGTAGGTGCGCGTCAAGATTTGGTCCTGCGCCAAATTCATGTTTAGTCAAATAACCTAGCCCACGAATCCAACTACCGAAGCCACTAAATAAGTGCTCCCCGTTGGTTCCCCGCCAAGTCTCATAAGTAACACATGGTCGATACGTAGATGCGCACCAAGAATTAAGAAGATACACACATTATTTCATCTTCCAAGTTCATCTGGTCCTACACCAAGTTCATGTTGAATAATGTCTCCCACTAATCCAACCACCAAACCCAACAAATAAACCGGACGTGGTGCATGGTGCACGCCCGCATACAATATCGATCGATCAGCATCTGTGGTTGAAGCGGGAGGACTGGGTTCGACCCCCGGCGTCTGAACTTTGGGACGGCATTTTTCTTTTCTTTTCCTTTTTCCTCAAGCTGCCGGCCATTTTATCTCTTCCAAGAATATCCCCAGCCCCGGGCATTGTCATCCTAATCAATCGGGATTCAACTCAAAGGCAGGCTCGGAGGATGCATGCGCATTGCGCGGTTCACTGGGTGTTTATTGCCAATCGGGTCGCAAACCTACTGAGGAACTCAGACTAGATTGGTTTGGCATCACAACCACGTCCTGCAAGCTATAATAAACGACGATAATAACCGTCATAGATTGGGCTTAGGCAGTGTGGTAGTTGCTTGGATAAATTGATTTTCTATTATGAAAGGCAATCATCAAAACCAACTGCCGAAGCAAAGGCATATCTTATACATGCTGAACCTGAACCTTGCGGATGTTGATGAACTGATCATGAATCAGCAGCGGATCATGATGGCTCGGGAACCGCCGAGCACTTTAACGCTTGAGCGGCCTGGTCCGCTGCTATGCATGCATGCTCGTAAGGAACAGGCTCTATTTCACTGTTCTGAACGGGTCTCGAACCAAGAGCAAGAGTATCCGGCGCGTCACAAATTGAATGCGGTCACGTGTATCTGGCGTCATGAACATGTGGACGTGCGCGGACGTTATAATTCCTGAGCAACGGCAGAGCGGTAACTTGTTTCGTCGGCATAACCCACAAGATTTCCGGTGCTCGAGAGATACCATGCGCTCCCGTTTATTTTACATTCAAAATTTCCACAACTATTCGTACAGGCGAGACCCCATAAATTATTGGGACATCCAATGCACTGCCTTTCATACAACTTACAATCTCGCTGCCACGTCCTTCATAGAATAAATGTCGTCGACCTGTGACTGGCCATCGTCAAGCCGGTCCATCGTAGACTTTATTGTGACGTTGACGTTGACATTCCCGATCGTCGTCCTCTGGTCTGCAGTTGAATGTGATACGAATTGCATCGCGCTAGACGCTCGTCCAGCTTGCGTGGCACCACGTTCAGTTCGATCGAATTCTGTGAATTCGTTGTCTCGTCGTGAAGTTGAGCGGATGATGATGACATTGAATGTGATCCCTGTTGCTTGAAGTGTCTACACCGAAAAATCAGTTCATGTATCCCCCAAAAAGGATTCCACCCACGGCATCGGACAAAGGGTACAACATATTGCTGTTACATAAGCTCACCACGTAGGTCAGGAAGACCAGCGTGGTGTATGCTAGACCGGACTCTGCAACTACTCGGATCACTTTTCTAAGTGGAGGTTGGTAGGCAGGAGCGGACAGCGAAGTGTTCCCAGTTCGGAACTTCTTATTTTGGTGCTCTATACGCCATATGCGCCACACAAGAAGAGCTACATCGCAAAAGTAAGAAGGCGATGAGGACTGTGCAGATGATGAACTTACACGTTGTTAGAACGTTTTGGGCTACAGTAATAGCAAAAATGCAGTCCACCACGGATGATGAGTTTGGGATTGAAGTAATGGCGTTTGCTGGCCGTGATTCAGCATGCATTAATTTGACCGCCATGGCAATACCAGTGAGGTAGAGCGTAAATGAGACCGTGATGGCTAGCCACCGCCGACCATAGACGATGAAGCAGCGGTATACGAGGACGAAGTCGCTCACGATCATATTAAGGATTTGGTTGAAGGACTACACATGTTAGCTACAGTCGAGCCACTTAGCGTATATGAACTCACCCTCGCAATAGTAATCCAGTAATGGGTATTCGTGAGCTCCTCCTTCGGTCCTCCTGCACCTCTGTATTTGACAAAGGCCAGGATCATGTACAGCAGTCCGATGATGTCGTCGAAGTGTCACAATGAAGATGAAGCAGAAGATGCTGACCAGCAACCACTTGATCTCGCTTCGTTGCCTCAACCGCTCCCCTCCTCCGGGCTGTGGTATCCAAAACAAAATTTGGGCGCAGAAACAGCATGTCACCAAGTACATGCCATAAGTCAAGGTTTCGAAATAAATGCCGGTGATCTCAGCATCTGTTATAGGGAACACATTGGAATCGTCTGAGGGACTATCATTGCGAATGAGGGGAAGAGACGGGTTGGACAGGATTGTGCACTGCCAATTTATAAAACCGGCAGGATACCTCAGTAAACCGGCCGGAATAAGTATTTTTGAAGAGCGCGAGAGAAAGCTACCAAACTCGATGGGTAATCATCTGTCTGATAGCAGCAGTCAACAGGCGGACAAACGTATCATTCGAGGAGTACGTAATGATAACAGTCGACTGGCGGATAGCTTTTACCGTTGAGATTCTTGAGAACGATTCAACTTCTAGTTACGCTTCAATACCGACGTACCGTGTGTAATCCCACATCTATGTACAGCATCACCGACCGAAGACCAGCACCATATCTTCGTCGAATGCCCGCGCTAGCGCCATGGCGCACCACAACCGCGAACGAGCTCGCCGTGCGGACGAACAATAAATTGGCAAGAAAGGAATCGAGGAGGCCGACCGCGTCGACCTCCTCGCAGCAGTTAAGTCCCTCTTCACCGATGACGCATCCGTATGGCCGCTTCAGTCACACCGATGATCACCAAATTTAGTGTGGCCGGACGTTCAACTCTAAATGCCGACTTTGGATTGCACAAAAGCCGGGCCGAAAGTCAATCTGTTATTAGTGAATTAGGTACATCTGAAACTGTGATCTGAAATACAAGAATAAAATTGGGTCTTGGACAAGCTGAAATGGGGCTGAAATCCCAGGAGTCAGATTGCAAAACAAATGCACCGAAATTGTAAACCGAAACTTACCATTTCGGTACAAAAAAAGGCGCATCAGAAACCTAGTATTTCAGGTGCACTGAAATGGCCATGGGTACTGAAATTCCGGCTTTCATAACACATTCCAGTGTAACTGAAATCATATATTTCATTTACATTTCAGCTGGAGCTGATGTGCAAATCAAAACTATTACTTTTGGTCAAGCTAATATTCGGTCGGCGGATCATCCGCCACTCGTCCGCAGATGATCTGCCACTCGTCTGCAGACGATCTGGTGCTCACCGGCAGAAGGTCTGCAGCTCAGGTGCAGATGGCTGGATTGCTGTCCCCTTTTTTTCCCACCTCTGCTCCAGCAGTCCAACTTACAAGACTGTGTTCAGCGCCACTGACAACGGCCTCCCAAGTAATTAAATTAGTCTTGTCAAGCGATATGTAGGTGCGCGTCGAGAATCAAGAAGATCTTTCAAGTTAATTTGGTCCTGCGCCAAATTCATGTTCACGTTGAGTAATGTCTCCCACCAATCCAACCACCAAAACAAATGAATAAGTCGGACGTGGTGCACGGTGCACGCCCCCAAACACTTTCCCGCGGTGCAGAAAGTTTGCGGCGGGAGGACTGGGTTCGACTCCCAGCGTCCGAATGGCATGAAGCTTTCGTTTTTCGTTCCTTTTTTCCTTTTCTTCAACTTGCCGGCCGTTTTTTCTCTTCCAAGAGTTCGAATATTACCAGCCCAAGCCTCTTGTCATTTAATTAATCGGAATTCAAGTGCGCACTTCACGAGTGTTTATTGCCAAACGAGTCGCAAACCCAAGGAACTCGAGTTGAAACTGACCTACTTACCAATCCAAGTACCGGAACTACTAAATAAATCGGATGTGGTGCACGGTGCACGCCCATCTATAATAGTTGAGAAGATTTCAATTTGTTGTGGGAGCTCTGGGTTCGACTCCCAGCGTCCGAATACTCCAGGGGCCATTGGGGGGTTTTTTTTTGAGGCGGGACGTGGATCCCTCTTTCGATTATAATGAGAACAAAGTCTTTGGAAAAAAGAAAGTACACTCGTAGTCGTACTGTTCCAAGCAAATACAACTGGTATTACACTGTACAACTCATGTTGAAATCTAACCCACTAATGCGACTACCGAAGTCGCTGAATAGATTGGAATAAATCGGACGTGGTGCACGGTGCACGCCTTCATACAGTGACTGGGAGTGTCGATTAGTTTGTGGCGGGAGTCCTGGGTTCGACTCCCAGCTTCCGAATAGTCCTGAGTTCTGCATTTTTAATTCTGCTTTTCCTTTTCTTCAACCTGCCGGCCGTTTTTTCTCTTCCAAGAGTTCGAATATTCCCAGCCTAAACCTCTTGTCCTTTAATTAATTGGAGTTCAAGTGCGCACTTCACGAGTGTTTATTGCCAATTGGGTCGCACACCTAACGAAATCGGGTTGAGAACTCACCTACAATACCAATCCAGCTACCAAACCAATTACTAAATAAATCGGACGTGGTGCATAGTGCACGGTGCACGCCCGCTCGCAATTCTTTGTAGCGGGGGGACTGGGTTCAATTCCCAGCATCCGAATAAGCCAGATACTCGTGCTTTTTTGTTCTTTTTTTTTTGTTTGCTCTTTTCCTGCGTTGAAACTGCGCTTGCCCCTGCCGGCGTGCTAATCGAAATTCAAGTCTAAGAGAATGCAATTCGCGGTTCACCGCCGAATGTTTATTGCCGCACACCTAAGGAACTCGTGTTGAAAACTTACCTACTAATCTAACTCCTAAAACTAGTGGATAATCGGATGTGGTGTATGGTGCACACCCGTCTACAGTTTCCTTTCGATTTTTTATTGTAGCGGGAGTCCTGGGTTCGACTCCCAGCGTCCGAATGGTCCATTGCGTTTTTTTTTTTTTTTTTTTTGAGGTGGGACGTGGATCCCTCTTTCGGTTGTAATGAGAACAAAGACGTTGGAAGAAAGGAAATAGTACTGTTCCAAGCAGATACAACTGGTATTACACTGTACAACTCATGTTGAGATCCAACCCACCAATCCAAGTACCGAATCTACTAAATGAATCGGACGTGGTGCACGGTGCACGGTGCACGCCCCCACATACTCGGTGCGAAGCTTGTCAACAATTTGCGGCGGGACTCCTGGGTTCGACTCCCAGTGTCCGAATCTGATTTTCTTCATTTCTTTTGTTTTTTTTTAGGAGGGACGCTGGACCTAGATACCTCTTTCGATTGTATTATGATGAGACGGAAGAAGAAAGTCAAGAACAAAGAAATCCAAAGAAAGAAAGTGCGTTGTTCCGAGAAAATACGACTAGCATTACAGCATCATTGCACCTACACCTACGCGTACATATACCTACACCGACACCTACACCTACGCCGACATTACCTACGCCGACCCACCCCCGCCCCCGCCGACGTGCATCCTCTCCTTGAGCCGCTGCATCAGCTTCGGCTTCTTCGTCTTCTTGCTCTTCTTCGTGCCGTCCCCGTCTGCGTCCGCGCTTGCGTCTGCATCGACGACATTCTCCGAGTTCGAGCCACTGCTCGCATCGTCATCTGCCTCCTCGCTCTTGTTTGGCGAAAGTTCCATGTCGCCCGTCGGCACATTGTCTTCCACCCTCGACGAATTTAATGCGGCGCTGCCCTGTACTTCGAGACGCGGCGTGAAGTCCCCCGTGGGCACGTTATCCTCGAACCGCGATGAATTCAAGGCGGCGCCGCCCTGTATTCCACCACCACCGTGCGCGCCCCCGTATGCGTTTGCAGGTGCGGTGGGCGTCGGGATAAGAGTAGTAAGAGCAGGCGCAGGCATGCTCTCCGACCCAGGCGTCGGGATGCTCTCCGAAGAGGCGGCGTACCCGCTCTCCCCGCCCGTGAGCGAGGGTGGGACGAGGGAGGGCGTGCTTGCTAGCGATGTCGACGTCGACGAGGCAGCTTCACCGAAAGCGGGGAGACCGAGCGCCGCGGGGTCGGGCATGGGGACGTGCGGCGTGGGATGTACACCGTCGAGGGATTGTGTGGGTACGGCGTTTACGTTCGTAGCGGGCTCGGCATGGACGCGCGCTACGCCGGGGTGCGAGGGGAGGAGACCTGAGGTCGGGCGGGGGTGGTCTCGTTCTTGAGTCGTGCTCGCACTCGCCATGAGAGACGAGGGCGCGGAGCTGGACGACTCCGCCGCGAGCGCGAGGTCCGTGCTCTCCCCCGGCGCGAGCGGGATGGGAGACTGTACGAGTTGTGGGGTGGTCAGGTCCACATCTGTGTTTGCAGCGGCGTCGGAATCAAGGGTCGACACAGAAGGGGCTCGCGCGCGACGCCGGGGTGCGAGGGGAGGAGGCCTGAGGTGGCGCGGGGTGCAGAAGGAGGGGGTGAAGAGGAAGAGGGAGAAGGAGGCGCGATGGCGGAGGAGGAGTGCCCCGTGTGCGCAGTGGTGCTGAAGGTGTCGCCTGCGGAGACGTGGTGCGATACGACTCGTGTCGGACGTCGACGGGGATGTCCTGCCGCGGGGGGCCCGAGGACAAGGACGCGAGGAGGGGGGCAGCGGGGGGAGGGAGGATTCGGATGCAGAGGGTGCTGGGGTGGAGTCCGCTAATAAGGAAGGTGCGTGAGCATGAATCGATACAGCATAAGAGAGAGACGTACGTAGATATGCAGCGACGGCTTGTGGGAGGTACGCCTTCGCGGTGGCAAGGCTGGGCATGTACGACTGCGCAGTCGCAAGGAGGTATCCTGCGGCGCCTGCTCTACACGGGCTGCAATCTGGCTCCAGATGGGCAGGAAACCCACCCGGGACATCGGGGCCGGGGGTGCCGACGGGGGTGCGTGTGACGTGCCACCGAGGACGTCGGTCGCGTTCTCGGCCCACTCGCTCGCTGGCGTTTGCGGGAGCGCGCCAGACGAAATGGTAGGGACCAAGTTGGGGGGGAGGGATGGATAGTCGTCATCCTAGTTATTTCTAGTATATACGAGGTTTATTCCGTTTATTTCCAGGGGTAGAAAGCAGCGAGAACAAGTTTGGATGAGTCCAAAGTCTTTCCAAGTCTTCGAGTAAAATTGCAGTTGGATAACAGAGGTTTCGAGCCCAAAGCAAGAAGTAAATTCAGCCCCATCTTGACGAGGAACGCAGCATTTTATACGCCCGGCAGACAGTGGAGTACAGACATGACGTCGGCGGTGAGGAGGCAAGGGAAGCTGCAGGTAAACAGACGCAACTTGATGGGATCAAACAAACCTTTGTCCCCTTCACGTCCTTGAGCTCAAGCCTGGCGCAGCTTTTCTATCTCTCCCGGGTGCCACACCTGAACTCTCGTCAGGACCATTGCCACTCACCATCAAGTACTTGGCTCGGCGGAGCAATTCTTTTATAGATCTTGCATTTCTTTCATCTGCCTTAAGGCCTGAATCCGATTGCTCCCGTATGAAAGTACCCAGCCTACAGAGTAACTTGGACGTGGTGCACAGCGCACTCCCGCTTGTTGTCAATGTTCCTACACCATACAATAAACGCCGGAAGACCGGGTTCGACTCCCGGCGTCCGAATTCATAGACCTCTAATTATTGCAGCGGCTGCTGAGTGCTCTGAAAATGATTTGTTGAGCAGCAGTATGTAAATAAATCGGTTCTGATTTTTACTCTTCATCCATTTACAAATGGCAGCTCGTACCAGAACGACGCCGCTCCCTTCTTTTTGCTTTGTGAGCATTCCTCGACATCGCACACATTATTCGAGGCTCTGACTCACGCCCAGAAACTCCCCTCACCACCTCCCACAAAGGCTCAATGGTACCTCGGACGTGGTGCACGGCGCACCCCCGCTCTCGCTTAGCGGCAGCCATTCTCAATTGAGTATAATGCGGGAACCCCGGGTTCGACTCCCGGCGTCCGAATGGACCTCAACGTCGTTTTTTTTTTCTGGTTCATTTCCTTCAAGTCGTGAGCATGATCGCTAATCCTTGCGTGTTTGATAGGAACCCATGCAACTCCCCTCTTCTAATTTTCCATGCACATCAAGCTCGTCTCTGCTTCAGCTTTAGGAACTCACCTGCATAGCCTGCCACCAAGGTTAAAGCGTACCTCGGACGTGGTGCATGGTGCACACCGCTCGCAGTCCGCAATTTCCTTTCAAGACAGTAGGATGCGGGAAGTCCGGGTTCGACTCCCGGCGTCCGAATGGACCACCTTTTTTTGCTCTCAGAGGTTTCCCTAACGCTGTTCCATTTTGTTTTGAGTTCATTCACATGGACGCTAATTTATCTGACAGACCCCGACTCCTGTCGTCCAGTATTTCATGCACGGCATCTTCGTCTCTGAATCACGCTCAGAAACTCACTGCCTTATCCTGCCACCAAGGTTAGATAGTATCTCGGACGTGGTGCATGGCACATAACCGCTCGCAGTTTCTGTATTGGTGAAAGAGCTTCAATGCGTGAATCCCGGGTTCGACTCCCGACGTCCCAATAGGGGGGTGCTCTATAATTTTTCTTCTTCTCATAGATTTCTCTAACATTGATTCATTTCCTTCGAGGTCATTCAGATGGCTAATTTTTCTGACAGACCCCAACTGCTCTCTTCGAGTATTCATGCACACCATGCTCGTCTCTGATTCGCGCCCTGAAAATCACCTTCGTCTTTTGGCATCAAGGTAAGAGAGTACCTCGGACGTGGTGTGTGGTGCACACCTGCTCGCACTGCTTGTGATAAAGTGTCGATTGTGCGGGAGGCCCGGGTTCGACTCCCGGCGTCCGAATGTCGGGATCTTTTTTTGCTCTCTTTCAGAGGTTTCCCTAACGCTGATTCATTTTCTTCGAGGTCCATGATTGCTTATTTATCTGACAGGACTTCGCAACTCCTCTCTCTTGGAGTATTTATCCACATCACACTTTTCTGAATCACGCGCAGAGACTCACCTCCACATTCTGGAACCAGGGTTAGAGTGGAACTCGGATGTGGTGTATGGCGCACACCCGCTCGCATACTTGAGGGAAGGTGACAATTGTGCGGGAGGCCCGAGTTCGACTCCCGGCGTTCGAATATATGGTCTGTGAAGATCTTTTTTCTTCTTCTTTTACTTCACACCAACTTATCTGTCCAACTTCCTGGGGATCTCTCTTGATGTTTCTCTACTTCATTTCTTCGAGGTCATCCACATGGACGCTGATCCTTATGATAGGAACCCACGCACCTCTTGCACGTCATTATTTATCGCGGACCGCGCCCAGAAACTCACCTCTATTCCGGCGCCCAGCACAGACAGTACCTCGGACGTGGGGCATGGCGTGTACCCGCTAGCAGTTTAACCTCATAGAGGTATTACATAAAGTGATAAAGGAAAGTATATATGCAGGAGTCGCTCGTTCGAGGCGAGCCGAGGTCATAATCCGAAAGAGATGGTCTTCTTTTGCCTTTTTGCTCCACACAGATTACTTCATACTGTCCGCAAAAATAACCAGTGGTGGCAGATCTGCGGGCCGATTCTGGGCTAATACAGCACGAATATGAGTTCGCACTTGAAAACGCCATCTGCATCACTGCTAACGCTGAATTAAAGCCCCGCCCCAATGCTAGGTCTCGCACATTTGCGTATTTTATGCCCAACTGCATGCGTTTGAGGCATACCCAACAAGGTACGCAGGCCCTATTTACAGTAATTGAGGTCTTTCTTGGTTTATTTTTCCGCCGTCGACGAATGCGTCGCAGGTAAATATTAAAGGCTTAGCGGCGGGTGGCTCGCGAAAAATCATGTGGGTGAGGAACCAATTCTGAGGCAGGGGCTCGTTCGAATTGAGCTCGGGCCGTTCAAAATCTGCGAACATTTAACTTTTTTTTCGGCTTCAACAACGAACACTAGACAGTATACAAATTTGGTACAGATCGCATGCTAATGACAAACAGGAGTCTGACGGATGCTCTGCGCCTGTATTCGACCTTTCAATTCCACGAGAAATCAATTGAAATTGGACACAACTTGGAATCACGGCGGACAAGCACTTGTCGTTTTCGCTTTGCCGTGCAACTGTCATTTGCACTGTCATTCACCGAGCGCTTTGTTCTGAACAAAGGGAACAAAGAAACTCAGCAAATGACTGTTGCAGTTCAATGTCCACCGTGAATAGGTTTTCCGCGCTCTCTCTAGTCAACAAAGTTCTTCGGATGGTACATCTTCTAACAGGCTTCCAAGTCCGAAATAAAGGCCCAGTTGCGGATGGTCCGCCCTTGCCGTCATCTCTCTCCTTGTGACTGCTTCCGCAGGAGTCGCTCGTTCGATTCGAGCCTCGGCCATGGGACTGGAACAACTCTTTTTCTCTTCGGTTACTTTGAACCTGCCATACACTGCGGTGGATTTTTTTTTCTCACCTCTACAGTAAGTTCTGGATCTTGAGATGATGAAATCCGGCTCCTCCAGATTAATCTCACAGGCAGTGAGATGGCTCCCAATGTAGATTTTTCTGGACTTGAAACGCAACCGCATCACATTTTCAGGTGCTTTCACTCTACCTACTGTTCAACTTCAAAACACGTAAATGACATCGATACTGGTCTCCTCAGGGGCGCCGAGAGCAACGTATGCCGCCGTCGAGAGCGCAACATCTTCGCCCTCGCATGGAAAGCATATGCCGCGATGGGCATGGTTTGCACATGCGTTCCGACTGAGATGGAGCATGTTAGCACTTTTCCCCGCCAACTGTGTATAGACATACAGGCTAGAGCCGCGGTTTGATCGCAGAGCGAAGTGTTGAACAACTGCGGGGAGAGAAGCAGAGCAATAGCATCGGGCTCGATGACGAAGCCACACGCCTCGGGGCCACTGCTGGGGTGGAATTCGATGGCTACGAATAATAAATGAGGGCCAAAATGGCGGTTTAGGCAAACAGGTATACCAGTGCCGGTATGAAGCTGCGCAGCGGCGCCGAAAGCCAAGGTAGCGAGGACAGAGATGGCCTGGAGCATTATAGGCAGTACTTGTGATGGGACTGTGGATGTGCCTACCGTTCTGCAGTTCCCTTCAACTTTTTATCCTGGAACAGAGCGCTAGTCTACCCTGGTCCCGCACGCGTGCTTCACTCTGTCCTCGCAGCATCACCGTGCTCAGTCCGTGCCCGGGTGCCGTTTAAATTAGATCAAGAATGTATAAATTGCCGCCCAAATATCTCGTATCTTACGCAGATGCCTTGCATCAATTTTTATCAACCACGTTCCTTTCTTCGCTCCAAGCTCGCTGAATTTGGTATGGAGTTCAAGTTTGCGTGCCTAGTATTCTCAGGTAATCCCAACCCCCAAAGCCCTGGTCTGAGGTCCGATGTCATTCGAATTGTTGCCCGCCGTATTATCCACCTCATTGCTTATGGAAGACGTGAGTTCCTCCGTTTGATACGCTTCAGACGGGGTTTTCCCGAAATAGATATGCGGCAGCAGCTTCCTGTTTGATTTTAGGCTTACCGGTTGACCCCCGATATCACCCGCTGCATCACAATCAGCTTCGGTCAGGAACAGGACGTTCAAAGGGATATTTTTCGACCTCACCGATCAGCTGATCAACTCCCATTGGACAGAATGGTTTGGACAGAATGGCCTTCGCTTATTCCTTTCCCTTCCTACTCCCATCAACTGCAAAAACCCCCCGCTAGCGAAAGGGAACGAGGATCGGGATTGATCCGTAAACACAACCACTCCGTTCTCGGGCTGGCCACAACCACCGTGTAACGCTAAGTGTTTGAAGTATTGAACGGGGGTTGAAAACCTGTTTTATTTAAGTGCTTCAACATTGCTTGATGTCAAATCAACTCGGGAGAAGATCCGTGATTCCTTCGGAATACCCTTTCAGGGGTAAATATTAGGCAAACCGAAGGCAAAATCTCGAAGAAGCCAAGATTGAAACCCAAATGCACGGGCAGAAACCAGAACAGATTGTAGACTGACTCACACAGCGGCAGGGAAAAAGCTTCAGTTATCACATCGCTTCCGCCTTATCGTGGTCGGCATGCAGATAAATAGTTGGTTGTTCGGTTGAAGGAGCTGCGGCTGGGGTACCGGCGGATTGAAGCTGGCGTCGGGCCCGGACGGCATGCGACGGGGTAGCAGCGCCGAAACTGTCCACACTCTCTATACTTTGACCCAATCCCGCGCGGACGACGATGATCGTCGGTGCGATTCCCTGATCACAACGGAAATAAGGGAGTGACCGGGAGCCGGGATAGGTAGGCAACGGACCACCAATTGTCCTAATATGGCACCGTTGGTCGTCTGTTAGTTGCGAGAGTTTTTTCAGCCGGGGGAATTTATGAGAGGAAATGATCATTACCTACAGTATCGGTATTTAAGCGGCCGCTGAGTTCGTAGGCCGAGATGAGAGCGAAAGCGATGCCGCCAACTCAGTACAAGGCCGGACTCCAATCTACTCAGTATGTCAATTGGTGGGACACGTACATCATGGCCCATATTGTTGTGTCCTTGTCAACTACCTTCCGTCCTATGAGCAGACGTGCCCGCCTGCTAGCCACCAAATTCGACCCGCTGGATGCGACTCCTATTGATTGTCCCCGCTAGCAGGAAGAGCAGGGAGCAAACCGCTTAGACCCATCAAGATGAAGGTCGTCAAAACTGACAAGGAAATGGAAAAGGTGAAGAGAAATGCGGGGAGGCCCCCGCTGAAGGTGGCATATAGAGGATCGAAGACCGCAGTAGTTTGAAGGAACACGATAACGTTGAGATAGCCAAAGGCTTGAGACGTGGTCCAATGGTCACGCCCTCAGAATACGAAACACAGGAAACCCACCAGCACCGATGATGGTCATGACTATCGGAAGGATCACAATATTCCATCGGAAATTCCAGATCGCATAGCAGCGAAAAATCTGGAGAGTCGTCAGGGATCGGGGAAGTTAAACGCTTGGGAATAAGCTAACCAAAATCCCATCTGCGATTGCACTGGACTGGGCTCCAAACCCAGTGCAACATACATACGCACTTGCTAGTCACGTAAATCGTGTTCGACCCGATTCAAGGAGACGTAGATTTGGAGACTCTTTCTCGACAATTCCGCGCTCCCGTTAATTACATTGGCGATTTCCGTGGTGGCCAACAGAAGTGCGCAATATACAGTGCAGAGTAGGAAGAGAGAGATCGTAGCGATGGTCAGAAAGCGATTTTTCACGACATCATTTTTGCGGAGGA